TGATGGGGAGGATTTCAGCCTTGTGTTGGTCAAAAGTAAATGCATTGGAGGCGATGAGTTGTGCTGGTTGTTCAGTGGAGCTTGGAAGCGAAGAAGTCCTTCCAGGGGGCTTCGATGAATGGCTCCAACCCAGTTTTGCAAGTATCACTGTTTGTACATTTGGACTTAGGATGTCTGCATCGGTTGCTTTTATGCAGGGGAAGATCCTGTGTGCCTCGACGAAATCAACGCTGCTCGCGAAGCCGCTGGACTGGCACACTTCAAAGTGGCAACACAGGAAGAACACAAGTTGCCTAAAACTGAGACAGACCAGGACGAAGGGCAAAATACTACATGGAATCCTGTTTGTGACGCTCTGATAGCAGTAAGTGTCTTCCCATATGGCCTTCGAACTTCGACCTCGTATTCAATATTTCATGCTGTCGCACTTCTTCGTCCGTGCTTTTTTCATTTCAGGAGAACTCAGAAGCGCTAGAAGAAAGCACAGAAGGATTTAAAAGTGGTACATACGCCTACATGGCCTTGGAATCGGAAACGCCCGACTGCGCCGCCGCAGTGAGCCACTGGAAGGACGCCGCCAGCAACTTCACTACAATCCCTCCGGCAAAGAATAAAGAAACGGAACTCTACGACAAACAACATAACGTCTCCTTCATTGCTCTGTACAACCCTTCAAACGATGCCGCTGCTGACTGCCGCGTCGTTACCTGCACTCTACCAGCAACTTCTAACCCCGGACCAGCCAACTTCCGGAACACTGCGAAAGAGAAGAAAGGCTATGCTCTACTGTGCATGACCACACCGGAAGCACTCAACGAGGATGCAGGTCCCTTCAAGTAAGTTGGCAATCAATTTTTGCAGAACGACAGTTGGCTACAGAGCTGGGCTTGTGGATGCGAATACAGTCTTGTGTGTTGTTCATCTGTTGGCGAATTGCGCTCAGCGAAGAGCAGTGGAAGAAGATCAAGGCATCCATCACAGGTTCTGCCTCTGCTGTTGCCCCGAGTCTGCTTGCCGTTGCTATTGCGGCCCTCGGCTTGGTTGTCTTTTAAGGCAGTGATCTCTCCGTGGCACCCGGCGGTTGCTGATGCTGTTCAACCAATGCCGCGCTCCGCAGTGTCTTATTCACATTTTCCTTCCTTCAGAACAGAGGCTCTGACTGGCGTGTACAGCTTACGCAGATCTATGCTTCCCGCTGCATCCACAGGACTGCGGCCATAGAAAGCTTCCAAGACACGCCCTATATACTCTTGCCTGTGCCTGTGGGATTTACGCTGCATGCGCCGCTAGTTAAGAGCCTTCGCAGCCTTTTTTATTTCTACGGGCAGCAAATGCTTGGTTGCCTCGGGTGCTTCTGTGGCACTGTCATGAGTCTTAGGTACTTCTTCCTTTTTACTGGTTTTATCGACCGGCATTATCACTCTCAGGCCATCCACACAGCCACCTTGTGCACCGGTGCGTGCTTGCGCAGATGTTTTCGCACATTTGTGCATACATACCGCCCTGCCCTACATGCGTGCGCGTTGCAGTAAGTCTAGGGACCGGCCGCAGTTCGCACTTTTTAGGCTGGCGAAGTACTGAGCGGAAGCTGAGGAGTTTGATAGGAATGTTGCTGCCTTTAGCATTTTCCCTTTCTATATTCGGGCGCACAAGCCTTGAGAGCATCGACGCAGGGCAACACCCGTCGATGAAGGGGCACCATGCAACACCCCGGTCACGGCCGAGAGGGGCGAGCCACAGTCTCGAGGCAAGTTATACTAATAAAATTCATACATGGCTCACGTGCCTTATAAGGAATTTGTGCATTGACAGGACAACATTAGTCGAGCACAAGGGACCTCGGCCCTCAGTATCCCCGATTCAGCCAGGATGCCAGGGATTTTGCGCTGGCGTTTCACGTCGCGTTCGGCGGCGCTAGGGGGCCCTGTGCAGACAATAATTATTGAAATACCTCATTGAAGTATTTTTAACAACGCTAGTGTTGTAAACTCAACTCCAGCACATAAGCACAACGACTCCACGCCGGGCCGGATGGGCCAGCCGTAGTCCGCTCCCTCGCCACCTCCTCCTGCACACACACTGCATAGCATATTGTTACGTCTGTTCTTGAAGCCCCTCAAAGCTTTCCCATTCCTCCTGTTTTCATTTTCACACATTCAACTTCAACACCGAAAACATGGCGGCCCTTAAGCTTTTTTCGCTCGCCTCTGCGTCTGCGCTTCTGATGGCCGACGCCGTCCATCAAACGCCAAAACAAACTCCATTGACAGCGAGAACAGTATCCTCAACATACACTGTAAATCTTGGTATGTCGGCAAATACTTGCATGCTCGGGGGGGGTTCAGCCTTGTGGTGGTCCAAATTAAATGCGTTGATGGCGGTGAGTTGTGCTGTAGGTTCAGTGGCGCTTGAAACGGAAGAAGTCCTCCAAAGGGCAACAAATGGTTCCAACTCACTCTTGAAAGCATCCGTTTTTGTACATTTTTGCTTAGGATGCCTGCATCGTTCGTTGTTCTGCAGGGGAGACTGGTGTGTGCCTCGACGAAATCAACGATGCACGCCAAGCCGCTGGACTCGAACACTTCAAAACGCCCAGCGCAGAAGTAACGTGGCCTAAAACTAGCGCGGCGAAAGCGGAGCAGCCAAGTAGTGCCTGGAATCCTGTTTGTGAAGCTCTGATAGCAGTGAGTGTCCTTCATTGTGACTTTCGTCCTTCGGCGTCCTACCCATAGTTCATGTTGGCTCATTCATTCATCCGTGCTTTTTTCGTTTCAGGAGGAATCAGAAGAAGGAGAACCTGGCGCATATGCAACTGAATTTCAAAGTGGCACATACGCCTTCATGGCCTTGGAATCGGAGACGCCCGACTGTGCCGCCGCAGTGAAGCACTGGAAGGACGCCGCCAGCAACTTCACTACAATCCCTCCGGCGAAGAATAAAGAACCGAAACTCTACGAGAAACAGCAGAACGTTTCCCTTATTGCTCTGTACAACCCTTCAGACAATGCCGCTATTGACTGCCGGGTTGTGACCTGCACTCTACCAGGTTCCGAACCGTCAACGTCCAACATCCGGAGCGCTGAGAAAGACAAGCATGGCTATGCTCTACTGTGCATGACCACACCTGATGCACTTGAAGGCGAGGATGCTCCCTTCGAGTAAGTTGGCAACCATTTCCTGCAAAGCAATAGCTGTGCACAGGGCTGGGC